CTTTACGGATCCAATTAGATCCCACAGTAACTTTCAATAGGATTTCAGACGAACACGTTAGATAATTGGTCCCGCTTTCTGATCCTTCCAGATGCAAGATGAATGGCGAATCGTGCGCACCATAGAGACGCCAGGTCGGCATAGAAATGGGCAACAACGGCAGCAGCTCCCATCAATATTGCGCGTCCAGCGGGCCGTCGCAGGAGATCGCTGGACGCGGGTGGACGCAGTCCTTCCCCCGGGAGCTGAGCAGGCATCACCCTCAGCAGCCGACGGGACACAAGGTCCTGCCGGAGCCGCCCAATCAGCGGCTACGCGCCACCAATAATGGAAGCATCATTCACAACGGGGGAACCATAAGCGGCCGCCGGCCGCCGGCCCTCACGCTTCCGCACGACCTTAATAAGGTAAGGATTCGCGGCGGCTTTTCGAATCGCGCTGATGACGTGGCGTGCCATGCCATGCTGCTCTTCGTGTGCCGCCGCACGATCCGTTGCAATTGCGGGCACCATCGGCGGGTGCGTGGAAATTTATTTTGCCGCAGGTACAGATCCTCATGCCGGTTGATAATTTTCCTTGTTAACAATAGTGACGGATAGAGACATTGATAGGAAGATAGTAATAATAATAGATTAGACGATAAATTGTCAGTCAAATTCAAGTGCGTCAATTTTTGATCAGTATGTTAGAGATATGGCGTTATCTCTGATTTGTTACAATCTTTAATCATTCCGCTTGGGCTAAACCAAGGGCCAAATAAATTTCTGCTCGCGTTTCGCAAGAGGAGCATATTGTCGCGTTTGTATATGTTTGTTTCCATATCCACTTCGAAAGCGGAAAGTCTGCTCCATCGAAACGCCTCCACAAAAAGATATGCACGTGGTGCAAACCGCTTCGATTCGGAGAGTTATGTATTCCGGAGTGGTTTGACAGCAAAAGTAAATGCGCCCCCGCAGTGATCGGACAGCAAAAAGCATTCTGAAGCGTTTCTATTCTTATAACAAGAAAGATTTTATAGCGGTTCAATACAAGCGGTATCAATTTGTACATCTATTTCGAATCTATCGGAATTCCAAAAATAAAAAAGGAGAACTATATGGATATAATAAATGTATATCTCTCCTTTTACTTCATATATTTATTTAGGTTTCTGGTGAAATTATTATTTATATTTAGTGATAAGAGTCACGGAAAGACTGATATTTTCTGCTCCGAATCGCTTTAGCGTGAAAACTTGCCTTTGTAAAATTGGCGAAAAGATAATTTTTTATTCCGACTCGCCTCGGTTTCAATCTTCTGATTTCGTGTCTAGCCAGTCCTCCTTCTGTCCACGAAGACGCATGTTTCCGTCGTCTAGAATTCTCACGCGGGATGATAATGCGCATCCGTGCAGAATTCGTATTGCGTCTTTTGGCCGGGCGCCATGTGTCGTAACCCGGTTAAGATTATTCTATAGAGCGACTTTTTACCGTGAATTCGCGAAATGTATCACGCGGCTTTCATCGAACGCTTTGTGCCGACGGTCGCACAGAGACGACGGTTTCTCATCCGCCCCGCTTTATCGTGATGCCTCGTCCTCTATAGCGCTTATTACGCGCTATCAGAAGCAAGTCGCGTACGCTTTGTAAATCAACAGTGTTCTAAGAATAAACGTAACACTTTACCGTTCCATCTTTATGTAATACTTAAGAAAAAAAATATTCTCTTAACCCGTTATGCATATAATCGGAGCTCACTAATGAGAACTTCTATTATGAGAGGCAGACGTAAATATTTTGCTCAGCTCGCGCATGCAGGACTGTGCATGGGGATTTAAATCATTGTAAAAATGATACAACAAAGCGAAGAAAATCAGGGATTCAAGTCGGTATTTTTCAAGCCTGCTCTCTCTCTCGCCCTCCAGCAGGGAATATTTCGCAGCCGCAGCACCTCGGCGTCGAACATCGGCGCGTCACGTAGCCGCAAGCTCGAACACCATTGCTGCTACTACGGGAACGGGTCGAGATGCTGCATGGAGAACGAGATGCAGGAGCTCAAGAGATTCGGCAGCGAGCCCGATTTGCGGTACTCGCCGATGGCGCGGGAGGCGGCGCGCTGCAACGGGAAGCAGCAGCAGCAACAGCAGCATCAGCACGCGATGGAGCACCGGCATTGCGGAAGCGGGCATTATCCCGAACGAGAGTGCAGGGAGCGAGAGAGTCGGTACAGGGGCAAGAAGAAATACAAGGCACCGGCGCCGCCGTCAAACGGCGTCGTTGATGGATCGTCCCCAGATTCTTACAGGTAGAAATGCTACTGATACATCGAGTATCACCTTTATTTCTCGAATTATTGTTACTTAATTTATAAGCCAGTAAAAAATTTTTATTTGAATGAACAATATCTCTATAGAGACGTTCTTTCATAAGATTGATAATTTTTCACCAGGAATATGATATCAATAATAATTTGCAAATGTCGATCTCTCTCTTTATCAAGTATACAAATTATATTAACATTAGTAGAGAGTTTCTCGTCTGCCAATAGTCAGTCTAAAGCATCTATGTTTCGATGTAGGAACCTTGTTCCTAGATATACAGAATCTGGTCAGGATCGACCGGGTGGTTGCCGCGGAGAGGAGGTCCAACCGCCGCCGAGGCGGTCGCGCCTCTTCAAAACGCGAGCGGAAACGAAGAGAGCGCAGGTCAACTGGCTCTCTTCTTCCTCGTCGTCGCAAACACACGCTATCGCGGAACGCTGCGAGAACGGTGGCAGCGGGCTGGAGAACGAGCGACGGTGGCGTGGTGAGGATGGCCGCGTCGCCAACAAGGAGAACAGGCTCGTTTGGCGTGATCAGAGCAACCATCTCCATCAGGATCGTTGGTGCCGGGATGAGCATAGGCGTTCGCGAATCTTTGATGGCAAGAACACGCTGCAGAGAAGCATGAGCAGCCCGGAGTTCCAAGCGGAGTTGATGCAAGTAGCCAGGAAGGTGCGCAATAAGCTCAATTGCGGGGGCAGATCATCTGTAGAGTCGGCAAACTTGGAACGCAACAGCGACGCTGATCGATGCACAAAAGAGCCGAAGATCGAGGAGGTGAAAAGGCCGGAAAAGAGATCAGCGAGGAACGAGGAGAGTTGTCCTGAAGAGCGCGTGATCGAGGACAGGATGGTCGAGGAGAGGCGGCTACCTGATCGTTGTAATCGATCCGAAAATAAGCACAACTCGTATGACGAGCACAAAGGGAACGCTCGTGATCCCGGGAGGACTAAGGACTACTTGGAGGAGAGGCAAGCGGAGGCTGTATCGGGCGGAAAGAGACGACTCGTCGAGAAACCGGCAATATTCGACGAATACTCCGCGATGCACCCGAAAGAACCTCTTCGGAAAGGTCCAAAGGATCGCGTGGACGCCGTGGGGCAGTCCTCGGGAGATAAACTCTCGTCGGAGAAACAACGGAGGGATCTTCTTGAGGACTATCAACGAGCGAAGAGTGTCGCGAAGAGCCGGAAGTATGAAAACGCGGCGGACTCCGGGAGAACCAGATCGGAGAGTCCGGTGAGGCCTTACATCAGGGTCACAGATCCTCGCGGGCAGGGTTCCGGGAGGGAAAGCACGCCTGAGCGAACGAGCGAGGCCAAAGAAAGAGAGAAGGAGAGAGATCCCGATCGTAGATGGCGGAAGAGCGACGTTAGGAATACTGATGGCGCGCCGGACGAGAAGAGATGGTCCTGCGAACCTGTTCCCGCGACGGCGGAGAAGAAAGATGCAAAATCCAAAGAGAAGCTCGCGAGGAAACCAGAAGCCAAGGATGTCCGCGAGAAAAATTGGCACGTGTAAGTTGCTCTCGCATCTCAGATCCATTTATCTCTCAGTCGCGAGTCGCGGATGCGTGCGCGTGCGTTGAAATGATTCCGATAATTATTTCCCTTATCAATGAATGTCTTGAGCGCACGGATACGTATAGACACGTAATTAGTTTTCCGATGATGACGAATAAGTGATGATTAGTGCATTCATTTGTAATCATCGCGCAGAGTTTGATATCTTCTCGATCATTTCTCTAGATTGCCGTCACCTGAGAAATCCGCACCGAAGACCTTCTACTTCGGCATGGACGAAGCGTTATCGAATGAGTCACGGAATTGCGTGGACCAGCACATGGAGCAAATACAATCCAGGTTGCAGACCAGACAAATCAATGGATCAATCGAATGCCACGACTACACAGATGATGTGAGTAACATGTTTCTTTTTTTATTTATAACGCTCTATCAATAAAATTACAAGATTATCGTTTAGCGTAATTGTTTATTTAAAAAAAGAAAAGTTTGAATACATATTTTAATGAACCGAATGATTTCAATTTTCAGGGGAAAAGCGGAATCGAGGATATCTCATTAAAATTGCGACCTACGTTACCTAAGAAACAGTTGGAAATCCCGCGATTTTCACCATCGGCAGCGTGGAGATTACTGTCAGCGTTAGAAGCACCTGGACCAACCATGAGCACGGCGAGCGAGGAAATTCCGGTAAGCGCGTAAAAAATATTTTAGTACGATAATTAGCAAAATAGTTAGCAAGTGAAGAGATGAAAAATATTTGGAACACGTCCGGTTATATTGTTACGTTGTTTGGTATCAGGTGATGTTCGAGGAACGTATCGAACGTCTGTCGAGGCCGCCTCCGCCGCTGATCGTACTCGGTCCGCGAAGTTCGCATGATAAATCTGGCGATTCTGGTATATCCGGGGATGCCGGCGCGGCCAATGACGACTCATTGGACATTAGCACCAATACCAATAACAACCGATTGAAGACACCGGCGACGAGACCGACGTGGACGCCGCAACAGGATCTAGGCGAGGAGTCCAGCAGTGACGCCGGAGTGGATTCGCCGCCGCCGATGCCGACCCCGGTGAAATTTCCGCCTAGGGCGCACGTATTCTCGTTGTCGTTGCCACGCGACGACAATCGCATGTACTTGTATAATCCGGATCTGAAGAATAAGGAGGGTTCAACCTTCAATTCGCTGCAGAAGTTGAAGAGGTCGGTGTCGGGCGCCCTCGGACTCGGACCGCTAGACTTGGAGAGGAAACGCACTCGCGACGTTCTCGACGATAATTGGCTGCTGTCGACAAGCGCCCCGACGTCGTTGCAGCATACCCAGATCACGGACGCAACGCGATCCTCGCCACCCGGTTGGAAGCCCGGCTTCGACGATGAGGATGAGGACGAGGTTTTAGTAGAAGACCTGGAGGATCGCGGTGACTTTCCTGTGATCATGAAGCCGCCCTCGTTTTCGTACTTGGCCTCCGGCGGTCATGTAATGTACTTGCCTGAATCTAATGACTCTCAATATCAGTCGCAGAGTTTGAACTACAGGAGCAACATGGCAGTGGAAAGTGAAAAGAATTCTGGTAACGGCTCCGGATCAAAGTACCGCAAGAACGGTGTGGACGAATTCAGGAAACCTAGCAAAGATGTAGAAAAGACGAGCAAGCAGCCCAAAGAATCAGTCATTTTGAAAGAAAAACCTTTCGCGAACGATGCAAAAGTGAATACTAGATTTTCCAAATCGTGTGACAACATTTCTGAGATGAAACAACGAAGTACTTCGCCGGTCGGTGGTCAGCAAAATTTGCAGGATGATAAGGAAATTGCGCCGGAAGTCAAAGCACCGTTAAAGAGCAACTCGAAAGGCCGTAGATTCACATTTCAGAGTACTGTGCGGCAGATTGAGAGGCGTAGATTAGCGGAAAAGCTATCGCGGGAGGCGGAAGCCAAGGAAAGACAGAGGAAAGGTGAGCTGGAAGCGATGCGTAAGGTAGAGGAGGAATTCCAACGAAAACGAGCTAGAGAGAAGGCGAATATTAGGCAGCAACTTCGCTTGTACAGCATGGATGAAAACCTGAGGTAAGGTTCTTGAAATTATGCTTGGAATTAAATGCTTTAAAACTTTGAGATATATTGAATTTTTTTATCGATTTTGTGTTTAGCTATAGATAAAATGTTTAAGACTAAAATAATTATTATCCAAGCTTGTAGCTAGAAAAAAGTGTAGTTTTTGAAGAGAATATAATTTGTTTAAAACACTTTTTAAGATAGATGGTCATGATTTAATTATTTTTAATAATTATAGTCTTCAGAATTGCTATTTACTATTAACAATCTGTTTCAATTACAGTAGCTTGCCCACTGTGTGGGACAGCTCGCAGTTATCTCGTGCGGACCCGGACGGCGCGCCATCGTCATCCGCGTCGTCACCCACGTCAGTCCCACCGGCGAAATTGACGACTATACGAAAGAGCAGCGTCAGCAGCGATGAGTATTTGCGTAAAAGAGCGTCCAGCGTGGATTCTAGACAGCAGCAGCAGCAGCAGCAGCAACAGCATCAACAGCAACCGAGGGAGTACAAAGATTACCGGCCAAAGTATTATGACTGGGCGCCCACCGAGTCGTCGTCGCATCTGGAATATAAGCAGACCACGGTGCATCCTAAAGTAGTATGCGACATTCCCAAGAGCTCGCCCGTCTTCGTGGATGCGCACGCGAACGTCAATAAAACGGCGAATCTTAGCTCCACGCCTAGATCCGACAATTACAGGTAAGCGTAACAACAAATCCATTTTAAATCGTGTAAAATACCTTCTTGATGAGTCCTATATAACTTCGAAATTAAGTAAAAGTTAAATTTTTATAACTCATACTTTTTTTAGTTTATAATATATATTTCTTGAAATGTGCAAACACTTTTCGGAACGATCTAAAATATTTGCTTAAAATGAGTTGACGAAGAAAATGATAGGGAAATATGTTACTTAAAACTGGTTTTTTAAAAAACTCAGATAATTAGGTAAAATAATTTATTCTTTATATTTATCACGCGATGTTCGATGGAAAGAAAGTGAAAAGCGAACGCGGTATTTTCATACATAGGCTACGCAAAAGGATTAAGAAGGGCAAAGGTCGCCTCCGCTATGCAATACACATGTATAAAGTGTCTGTCATTCCGAAGAGTCTTTGAATTCACTTTCACTCACGTGCTCGCGGCCATGTTAGGCTCGCGTACAACAGTCCGCGATTGCGAGACGAAACCACTAATGGCGAATAATCTTCTAACGCGTTACTCAACAGGAAAGATTTTGCTCATGGGGCCGTGGCGGCAAGATCCTCCTTAGCCAGCAGCGACAGTGAGCTATCGCAACCGAATACGAGACCGCATTCCAGGCAAGCCGTCAACAAGAGCAAGCCCATACGGTCTAGGTACGTTCGATACAATCTGGTCCCCTTAACTTCCGCTTGAGATAACGATTCCCCGCCCCTGAGAATGTTTCCCGAAATAATAGCGACATCGACGGACGTAAAATGCCTGAACAAGAGGTTTTCGTAGATTCGAATGACGTCTATTTTTTATACATTCCGCATACTGAAGCGAGCGTGAACAATAATATAATTTAAAGACAATATAATTTTCTTTCACATCTATTAAACAAAAGTCAAACTTGATGGACAATAATTTTCCTTATAATTGTTTCCAGAATTTTTCTATTTAGAAGAATTAAAATTATTTTATTTATTTTATAAATTTGCATTAAGAACTTTTTTATTTCTTGCTTTCTTGATAATCTAGAGATGTGTCTGCCCACACACACATATATACACACACAAAATTTTTTAAAATTATTTTTAAATATTTTCTATCTAAAGTTTCAGATTTGTTTTTGTGCTCGTTCCAGTATGCATAGAATTCATATATAATTCACTCGACAATCAATGTTTAATGTGTCAGCTTGTCTTGCACTTCAGTTGCAAGTTAATGAATACGAGTATTAATGTTTGCTAGACATAGTAGTGATTAAATCTACTAATCGCACCCGTAGGTAAGAACTCGCGCGTCTCGTGCGACTACTAATTTTTGGCTTTCTGATTTTTTATCATGCGCAGGTTTTAAGGTGGGCGTAAAGTAAGTAGTCTTAACACCTCTAGTCATCTAACAACGCTTCATTAAACCAAGCCAAGCAAATACGGTCGCGCTTCTAACTACGTATTGGGCGAGGATGGCACATAAGTGACAAGCATCGTGCGAGAATGGGTAAACCAACGCATCACAATTGTCGTTACGTACGTTTGAGAGAAAGATCGTCGCTCTACGATATTGCGTCTTGGTTTATCTTCCGACGCGTTGAACGCCGGCCAGCATTCTCCAAGTCTTGCGTGCGTCTGTATAAGGACTATGCTAATATTTTACTAGATCCTCAACTCGCCTAGAATAGATGTTTGCCTTGGCGTTCAACGCGTTGACAAATACAGCAGAGGCGTTACGTGTACTCGACCAATCCCAAAATATTGATCCTCTACGAACGAAAGTGGTTTCCCTTCGAAAAGGAAGGCTGCCTGCATTAAAAGTTTCATTTCTATTCCCAAAATTGATATACATTTATTTTATATCGACTTTTATAAATTTGTAGTTGCATAAAAGTATAAGAAGATTGAAATTTTTAAGTATAGGAATATATGATATTTTATTTAGATATTATACTAAAGTTACTTTTTTAAATTACTTTGTTATTTAATGTTATCTTGACTTCCTGTTGCAATGCGATGATGAAACGTGTCGCGAGTCGTGGCGTTCTCTGCTGATGCCATAGTAGGAAGAACGGGGAGGGGATGTCAAAAATGGAGCGAAAAGAGTAAGAAACGATTAATCAGGTCGGCTAGCCCAACACGCAGCGAGGAAGCCGTTAGCACAGAGGACGAGACCCCGGTGGAGCCGATCAAACAAGAGCGAAGCCCCATGAACGGCTTTGTATTGAACGGAGTGCAGCCTTTCGTGAGGGAGAAGAGCTACCGACCCATTTCTTTCAATCCCCAACCGCCTCCGCCTATTCCGAGTTAGAAGCCGTACTGCGGATCTTAAAGAGTACTTGTAGATGTTAACAAAATTGCGCAAAGAGAATCCGATATATATATTATTCATATACTTTCTGACGTACGCGAAATGTCGAGTCTGGAGAGTTCGTTTTGCGGGCTCTCCCTCGAGAGATCTGGTCTATCTGAACCAAAATAAAGATCGTTTTTTATGTAAAATCGACAGTTTCGTGTACGTCAGCCCGTTAAATGTTAAGCCGAAGGGTTTTTATGAAACTTTACTGAACGGAGATTTTATACCGCAGCGTTTATACAAAGAAATAGGTTTTTTTTTATACGATTTAGAGAATGTTCTCCGAGAGAACTCTGTATTCTCCGCGAGCGTACATAACGATCGCTGTAACAGCGCAATGATCATTCGTCGCGCGGCATTTTTATGTACGCGAAACTAATGTCAAAGTAATACCTTTATACGATGTGTAACAAGTAACACGATCTAACTCCTAACCAAATGTGTTCCGTACGACTGTCGGTACGTCCATCTACTATTTATGTTTGCCGTAAGTATATTAACAAAACAGAAGCGGAATCAAAGATCATAAGCTTATCTCGCGCGCGACGCGTCGTTTTATAGACCAGTTGTAAAAGGCGCATCGCGGGGAAAAAATACCAATAATACCGGGTGTATACATTTACTTAAACAGGTTTAGGGCAGTATCTTGTAATTATGTACAGGTAACAACCGCAGGCGACTGCAAATATTTGCTCACGTAATGTAATCAAACAAAAGATAATGTTGTTATTGACTGCGTGAATTTTTTCTTTTATCCTTGCCACCCTTTATCCTCGCCACCTTCAACGGACGTCTTCAACAGCTTGAAGTTATGAACGAGTAACATAAGTTAAATGATGTTAAACAATGTTTGTAACTTTTACATTAATATTTAGGGAAGAGAGAAGTTCTTGGCTAATAGTCTTTTCTTGAAACAATTTAACTCTTAATTTCCATATAGTTTTCAATGTTTGCTTGCGGTCTTTGGTCTCGCGTTCGAAATTATTTTAAAATTTAATTTACATGTGAAGTTAGCTATACGTCGTGCGACACGACGAGCGAGTATTTCGGATCAATCGCGACCGGCCGCCATTTTTCCTTCAGTGTCTACCTGTTCACGTGTCTCGACTGGAATCCGGAGAAACGATAAGAAATGAGTTCGCTAGGTTTCCCGAACATCGCGCCATCGCCTTCCTTAGATAACATGTGTGTTCTCGCACTCATGTCTTGATAAAATTACGTTGTTTTATGTATTCCCAGACAGTCAAATCTTTCAAACAATAGATTTTACATTCATATCTTTTGCTACAGACAAGTGCAATTTGAGTCAATACTGAACGAAAATAGCGACGATGAAGAAGAGTTCGGCATAAATATTCCAACGTCGCAATCAGACGTAGCGGCACAGAAACAGCACAGCGATGGCGGCTCTACCATGCAAGGCGACAATTTTACAGATAGAGATGAGGCTCGTATCTTCGAATTAATTTCGGAATGTTTGAAAATTCAATTTTTTTCTTCTCTATGTATTCTTTCGTTTAATTAATATCACCTGCCTTTATCAAACGTAAGAAGCAGGCAAAATCTCGTTAACGTAAAAAGCGTGTGAACCAGCGAATTCCATCGCTGTTGTTTGAGAATCTTGGAGAAGCGTCTCGCATTCGTGTTTCGTGAATTTTATATAAATATCCTTCCTTGCCCATCGCAGATCATTTTAGCGATGATCTGGTCGAGCAATCAATTGGGCGCGGCCTACTACAACATCCTCACGTCCGAGCTGTTTGTGATGGACGATACTTATGACGACGGTGTTAACTTTAACATCGCAAGGACCCTGTACAAGCAATGCCGGCCGCGTCACGTCATCACGATCTCCGGCATGTCCGACGAGTTCCTCACGGCGCTCGAGGCTCTGGTAACGTCGGAAATGTCGAGCGATCGGAGCGGATTGTCGGGATTGAGCGGCGCGGGGCCGTCGCAGGTCTCGCTGAGGGTGTTGCGGAAGAGGGAACACGGCTTCGACAGATGCTATCACAGGGTACGATGTCTCAAGCTCCGGTCGGAGCCGGTGAACGCCAGCAACGTCGAGAGGCTTATTTTCCTCCAGGGCCTGTTGAACTTCAAATCGATCGTCATGATCCACGCGCTCGGCCTGCTCTTGATCTACATCGACCAGCATTGGAGCAATATCGCGCTGGATCCTTCCGGCAGACCTGGCTTCGCGTCTCTGGCCAGCGTGACGTTGTGAGTCCCTACAATCTCGCCGCTCGCGATAGGACTAATCCTTTAGACACGGCTACACTGGTAGTGGTGCGGGGCTTATAGAGTTTGCTGATAATCTCTCTGAGAATGTTGTATCGTACGAGAGTAAGGGTCCGAGTTTTCGTAGCGCGCTGTCTGATGAGTACATCTTTGTTAAACTCGCGATATTTTCCATGAATTTGTTACAACGCCAGTTTAGTTTTGTCGGCCACCCTCATAGATTTTTTTTCTGGCTTCAGCAGATGGATATTTTTGATTAATCATATTTTTCAAATTAAAACTCACGTTTAATTTTTTTAAATTAAAATGTACGATCGTTTTTTTGCACGCGGGATTTTGTAGACGTGACATCGTCATGATAGATGATGACACTTACGAGGCGCTGAATATCGTGCATGCCAGGCATCATCCGAGCCTTTTCAAGTGCGGCGACGCGGCAGCGAAGAAGCAAAGTGGCAGCTTATTCATTCTTCTGAATCGCTGCCAATCGCGACCCGGAGTGCAGTTTTTGTGGCAAGTAGCGCCGCGTTATCTTCGTTTTTTTTTTTTATATATAACTATCGTGACGTTATTATATATTCTGAAGAGACTGCATTTTGTAGGAAAACGTTGCGGCATCCCACGCGAAATGTCCAGATTCTTAACGAGAGATTCGAAGTCGTCGAATTCTGTTTGAATCCGGATAACCAGAGTATCGTCGAGAATTTGACGTCGTGTTTGAAACACATTTACCGCTTGACTAACGTTATTCTGGATCGATATTTAGCGCAGCAAGCTAAGGTTTCTGACTGGCGACGATTACACAAGGTTCACCACGTTTTTCTAATCGGACAGTTGAATAATTTATTCGATGCCCGTTACCCGCCCGCATCGCCATATTCTATCTAATTGTATTTCACGCCGCAGTCGATCTCTTCCATAATTTACATCGCCGACATATGCGAGAAACACCGCGAGAAAGTGAGGCTGTTCAACAAAATCGTCGGTAGTATCACGAAGGAAGTACGTTACGTCAAGTATTTCATCGAGTACATAGTGGACTTTGGTGCAAAAAGATCCGAGAATGATTCCATCGTGCGCACAAATGTGGACTCACACTTGGACAATCGTAAGTGTGAGCGTTAAACCCCTTCATCGTAATTGTGTAACAATAATATTATATAACTTTCGAAAATTGCGATAAATTAAAATTACGATGGGCATTCGACTGTCCGAACGTTGCGCGTTACATTTCCATCGGGATACACAGTGCACCACGTGAGAAGCACTTTGCCCGAGACCCTGACACGAATGGGGGAGAAAGACATGAAAGACCATCTTCCGGCCTCGGTGACGACCTGCAAGATGGTGTACATACCGAACATCGGATACCTCTTAGCGATAACCGGATGGAACCCGTCGCCGGCCGACAACGTCGACTTGGAAAACCTAGAGCTGAAATTCGTCAGCAACAACATACGTTATTATAAGAGCCCTAGCGCCAAAGGTTGCATTATTTTTCAATTTTTACCACAATTTCTACCCTACGCACGACATGCATTTGTAATTTCTTTTTGCGTTCGTCTGGAATTAAAATTGGTTTTTCAGAATTGGATAATACTATAGGAGATATAATGTTGAGGATAAATAAACGGGAGAGTTACATTTTGTTGAAGCTTGTGAAGTATATAAATAAGCACGCTGCCTCGATATTCAACGCGATTCAATTGTGCGCCGAATTGGACACGTGAGTGAATCAGACGCGTTAAGAGTTCTTCGCGAAGAAATTAATTAGGCAAAAGAAAAGATTAAAAAATTATAATTAAAGGAATTAATATTGAAAATAGTAAAAAGAAGCAGCTCTGAATTTATTTGACATAGGATAATATTTTTTTTGAGAAGTCTCGCTACGCGTCGTGCCGATCGTTACAGATTGCTGGCGTTTTACGTGGTCGCGCGAGAATACAATTACGTGAAACCGAACGTGGTCGACCGCCAGATCATAGCGGTGGAGCAGGGTCGACACCCCTTGCAGGAGTTTCTAACAACGTTTGTTCCGAATGACATCTATTCCGGCGACGGAAAGAGCCTCGTGAAAATCCTAACTGGCCCGAACGCTTCCGGCAAGAGCACTTATCTCAAGCAAGTTGCGCTGATCGTGTTCATGGCTCACATCGGCTGCTTCGTGCCGGCCAAATCGGCCACCATAGGAATAGTGACTCACATCCTGACTCAGATCACGTCTGTGGACAGTATCGCTCTAAATACGAGTATGTTTCTGCAAGATATGCGGCAGGTAAATAAATAACGTTCTCCAAGAAACATATATAGGCGTCTCAGAGTCGTAGTGAAAGGAGCAAATTCTGCGCGATATAAATTAAATTAATGATTATATATAATTAATTAAAAACTCTCGATATAAAAATTAATGAGTTAAAAGGAAAAATGGCCTATATGAGACTTGCATAGCCCACTTTTCCTTTTTACTCGTTAATAAATTAATCAATTGCCGAATTAATGAATTTCCTCGAGGACTTTGTTATTCTCATCGGTTTCTTTACAGATAAACTCCGCTCTTTACGCGTCCACGCCGAATTCCATCGTCATTTTGGACGAGTTCGGAAACGGAACGTCCGAAGTGAGTGGCTTGTCCCTACTCGCGGCCGTGCTGAACAATTTCGTCGAGCGAGGGACCGACTGTCCGCACATTTTCGTGGCCACGCATATGCATCGGATAATGAACATGTTACCGCGAAGCCCGATAATCGAGGAGCAGGTAAGAGCACGTCCATCTTCAGTGGCGTTCACGACATTGAAGCGATTTCCTTGAATTGCCGTTGCTCTTTCCGAACTTCTATTTCCTATTTCATATTATTTGTTACAGACTTTCGAATTTGTTACAAACGAGGACGGCTCCGTGGCGTATCTTTACAGTTTAATTAGTGGAAACGTGGGACGCAGCTTTGCACACGCGGCTGCACGAAGTGCCGGTTTGGACGAAAAGATTGTTAAACGAGCATTAGAGGTAAAGATTTCGCCTCGCGTATACTTAAAACTTTGCTTACAAAAATTACATAAATAAATGAAATAAAACAATTTAACCGGCCTAATTGGAACCATAAAAGTTCTAAAAATAAAAAGGACTTTTGTAGGTATACGAGAAATTTAAGGCTGGCGAGTTACCTCCACGATTACCGGAAGCCAAAGGCCAAGACATGTGAGAATCTCTAATAAAATTGGTCACATTTATACAATATTATACAAAGATCAGATTTGCTCGCCGCGATTAATAATAATTGTGTGATTTGTATATAATTGCAGGGCGACGCACATCATCGAACAATTACTAAAGTCAGAGAATTTCGATTTGGAAGAGTTGAAGAAGTTGGTCCGTCAATTCACGGAATCGCCAGCTGCTGCGAGGATAAACAATAAGAACAATTAAGCGAAAGAAGAAAGAAGATATTTCGCAAAACCAGTGTATCATATTAAATATTTAATTATCAAAATGTCAAAATACATATACATATAATATATTTATTAAAATATTAATTATGACATTGAATGTCTCGTTCAATTAAAGTGTTAAATACATAGTGCTTCAAAAATATCATTTTTCAATAAAAAAAAGTAATTTAGAAAGAGTTTGGTATACCGACATGGAGAGCAGAGCGCAGCTTTACCGGATGCGGTAATCGCGTAGCGTCTTTTTGGGTGCAACACAGATGTCGGCACCGGTCACCCTTGCGCCCGCCTGTGCCGATCGGTCCAACGACCTCGCGCCGGCAGATGTCGGGGCGATCGGCGCGCGCGCCGGCCGGGAGCTGGCGCTCGCGGTCTTTCCGTTGTCAATAACGGACACTGGCGGTTGGCGGTGTATCCCGGCACGAAAAGCGAACCGAACGGCCGTCCCCTCGGACGCGCGAGATACCCAAACGTCCGGAGCCGTGAGAGGTGCGATTCGGCTGGTACGCGAACGCCCCCGGGATCGTAATCGCGGGTGTCCTGTGTGTGTGAGCGCGCGCGCGGGTGTGTGTTTGCTCGCGCGTTGCTGACGCTCGACGAGGACGACGACGACGGCGAGGACGAGGCCGAGGACGGCAACGACGCGGCGCGGCGCGGAACGTTCGGCCGGGAGACGGGAGAGGAACGAGAACCGCGGTCGGATACGCACGGGCGTGCCTTGGAGCCGAGGGGAGAATCGCGGCGCGGCGACGGCGACGGTTCCCGACGAGAACGAGGATTCGCGACGAGGGACGGAAGGAACGGTGGCACGGGGAGGCAGAGGAGCGCGCGTCGTCGCGTCACCGAGGATCCCGCAGGCGGAAGAAAGGAAGGACCGGTCGCCGCGCGAGTTTGAATGCGAACGCTTCCGTAACTGTCAACCGTCGTGGTCGTCGCGCGACTCGTTCGCTGCCTCTCGCTCCCTCCCCTGCTCTCTTTCTCTTTCTTTCGCTCCCTCGCGCGCGCACACACACGCGCGCTCGCGCCCGAGTCGATTAAATCGGCCGCGCGCGCGGGGCCCGTTGGCGGCCGTGGTAGTTAACGGAGGAAGCCGGGCGCGTTTTATGGTGCCGTACGAGGTGCGCGAGACCGACTAAATGACCATGGATCACGGTACGTGCAACATCGACGTCGGCTGCAGCATCAACATCCAGAGGACCGACGGTGAGTGCGAGAATACCGTCCGAGATTATTATTGTACGCCGCGCCGCACGGCGCGACCCGCGAAGCTTTCTCACCGTCTCCGATTTCCGATCCCCGTTCTGCTCTTGCTTTCCCCCTCCTCCCCCTCTCGCGTCGATTCCTTTATTCCACCGCGAATTTCCGTCTTCTCGCACCGTCTTCGCCTTTCCTCGGTCTCTCCTATCTCCCTCTTGCTTACAATTAACGCTATCGTTACTTATGTATGTCTATCTTCTACTCCTCGTGCAATCGTCTTTTCCGTTCCTTTCCCTCCCTCCCCTCGTTCGTCCACGTCTTCCAGTCCAGTTCTTTCCCTCTCGCCTTTGCTTTTTTTCTCTCTACTGCACGCTGTATTTTCTCCTTTATTTGTTTTTGACATTTTTCTTCATTTCCGATCCCCCCCGTTGTCTCCCATCCGCTTTTTCTTCCCCTCTCCTTTCTCTCTTATCTCTATCGCTTACCTGGCCTCGCTCGTGCGTCTCCGGGTTTTTCCGCGGCCACGCGGTCGCGCGGGCCCGACCAACGCGTGACGATCACCCTGGGCCTGGGATCCCGATCACCCCGATCCTTCGATCGATCCCGACCGGCCGGCTGCTGGCCTCCGTGCCCGAACTCGCGTTCCCATATACGGGAAATTTCGTGCACGACCTTTCTTCCGCGGTTCGCGCGAGTTCTCCTCAGTTCCCCTTCGCACGCACCAATATTTGTTTTCCTTTTTTTTCCTCAGGATTTTGCTGTCCCCTTCCTTTCTTCGCTCCGTCGTCCTTTACGTAAATTGTTGTGAAGTAAATAATTAAGATCACGCGTGAAACGTAATGTTCACACGATGTACAGGTAATCCTCGAATAACACGATTAATTGGTTATTGAAAACTTTGTTATTCGAGACATAAATTCAATTTTGGAGACCACGTGCTATTGCAAACCGTGCAGTTCAAGACTTTAAATCCATGTAAAATTGGGCATTTAGTTCCCAAGAGTTTTATTTTTAAAGAATTTAAAAAGTTGTAAAGAATTTAAAGAGTTGTCACAATTTTTTACTACGCTATTCAAGTACCGTTAATCGAGGGTCATCTGTACATACATCTGATATGATCTGATATGATCTTATCAATGATTTTTGAAGAAATTTGAAACAGATAATTTTCTGATTAAAATATCGAGATAAAAGAATGAGTTTTGAGAGATAAAAGAAAAAGTTTGAGACGGATAGTTTCTCGACTCAAATATCGAGATAAGAAAATGATTATTTTCAAATTATTAGAAATAATCACTCTTGTCGTGAATTCGAGGTTTGCGACTAGCAAAAATCTATTTCTTCGCTTAAACAGAAATAATTTTATTAAAATGTATTATTATTAACATAAGTATATATTTTTATCTCGTATGTTAAACATTTATTGCACAGATACTGTAGGTCAAATGCGAAAAATGACGAACTTTTTAATCTCTTGCGACACGTTACACTTCGCGCGTTGAATTACCGGTGTACGAAAGACGACTTTAACTTCTGAGAAACGTATGGCTGACACGCGTGGGACAAAGTATCAGGGGTGACGATAACCGGCGTTTTCTTCGGGCGGAAATTGCTTCCGAGGATATTCCGTCGGCGTGCCATCCGAATTCCTTTGAGCGGGCGTAATAACGGATGTTTCGAAGCCGTCGATCGAGTCGCAAGACTGTGTGCTTCCTTTCACCGCGCGTGTTGTTCCCGACATATAGAACGAGACCGAAAATCACGTGAGCTTCCAGCACGAGCGGAGCTGCGTTCTCGTTAGCGTAATCGAAAGAGCGGAAGTCACGAAAACCCGGCTTAATTACTCTCTAAAGTACTCTGAGCCGACTCCTTGCTAATGTGCGAAAAAATTGTTGCAAAACGACCGAGATTTTCTCGAGGTTTTATTAAATAAAATTAAACGAGCGTTCTTTAAGCTAGGTAGTTACTTTGGTCGAGTTAGTTTTATCGGCAAAGTGCCCCTGCAATTCTCAAACAAATGCGGATGCTTGGCGTATCTTTTCCTTTATATTTCAAGGATTAAATAATCAGAGTTTTTAAATCGGTTTATTATTTTATTATTATTTTATTATTTTATTATTGAATTTGTATATTATTTATTTTTAAATTAAGATTAAATAATCAGATTACATATTTTTAAGTTTGACAATGGATATTATTTGATTTAAAAACGGCAATAGTTGGAAATCGTCCTAAAATTTCAATGGTTTTACAATCGTGAAGCGTTTGGGGAGAAAAAGAATTGTGCGAGACTGTATTTGCTCTCCTTTCCTGCTTGATGCTTGAAGGGTTAATCGAAGATGAAATCTTACGTTCGTGATCGCGAACTTCCGGCACGAAATCGGCGTTCTCATTTTCGCGTAAGAGCAGAAATATTAAATCCAAAATTGACGTCAGTGATGTGTCTATGCTCTCTATTGATCTCGTGATTGTTTATATACACGTGTGATGGTATCGATTGTTCGGTATACCTATACTGGCACATGTCGACAGAATTATAATCATGTAGATTGCTAACTGCGATTTCTACGCGGGTATAACTCTTTAAAGACCGTTGTACTTGTTTCCACACGTGAAACGCGTGTCACGTTTATATTTCTTACCTTAATTTTGATTTAGTTTTCCAATAGATCGATATCACTGTAATAGAAAGAACTAAATTTAATCCAGGCAGTTAGCCAGGGCGAGAGACATGTTCTTTAATGCCTTTTGCGTGTCAAGATAATTTCAAGAAACTGAATAGAAACTAATCGAGAACTCTGCAGAGAAATAAAAAGAAAATGGGATCACGAGTTATGATCATTTGAAAAAACACGATCGCCATAAATCTATCCGGTGAAATCGCTATATTCTGCCTGTTTCCGTTTCCGTAAATTCTTGAAGATATTTCCCTGTCTACATATAAGTCCTCAAAAGTTCGGGTCTCGGGAAGCTCGTTCGTTCTCGGAAACAGTCCTGGGAGAAAGAGATAGGAGCGCGGCGGGGCGGATATATCTTTCGATATTTAATTCAGCGTGCGAGCACGACCGCGCGCTGGGTTTCATGAACTATAGACGAGCTCGGGCACGAAGTTTTCGCTCGGTGCAGTCTGCACTTCGGATGCACACTCGTCGGCTCTGCTCACCGTTACGTTTGTTCGCGAGGCGGCACGCTGCGGTAGGAACGAGCGAGCGGCGTTAGGGGAGACTGGCATAATTGATCCGGCGGAACACACGACCGCCAGACACAATACTCATTTTTCGAGCCATGCGAAAATATTCCGCGTAAATGGACTGGACGGCAGCCGCTCGCCGTGTCGGGCTCTTGAATGCTTATCAGGGCATTCATAATTCGCGAGAGATCCTTAAACTCGGTTATGTGCAATATAAGTCTATATTATGTATTTCCCTAGAGTTGAACACCTATATTTTCTCCTACAAATGGAAATGCATTTTGAAATTCTATGAATATGAATGCCAATGGATAACATAACTCGACTAATTTTTTGCTCGATAAACGGAAGGAAGAAAATTTTATTTTTATATGTAAAAGAATCTTAACACAGTCAAAGAATCTTATAATGTTTCAAGAAAAGGAAATCCAAATTAGTTGTCATATTTGCGAATTTTCTTTATGTTTTTCTTTATAGTTTTTGTTATGATGATTCGATATTTACTTGGTCGATGTAGAGAGTGACCTTTTGCAAAGTTTAACCGATCTTCATAATTCAGTATAAAATTGAATTTATTATTTGCTATGTTTATGTTATTTGGATGAAGTCCACAGCCGTGTG